AATTTTTTGTAAAAAGTCATTTATTTATATCAATTTTTTTTGACTTCTAATGTTTTGGTAATTTTTTGGCGAGGTAAAAAGGCATTTTCAGTATTTTTTTTACACGTTTTTGTACTAGTTATAGTGGCCTAATGATGAAGCTGAAGAGATAAGCGAAAGAATAACAAGAGTTAACCATATCGACAGGACTAAGAAGCAATCAGAAATTAAATTTTCAATTCAAAAAATATAGACATGATTCACAATTCAAAATTCAAAAACCTAATTTGTAAAAAAATAGATAGGATTCACAGTTCACAATGCAATAAATATATACAGGATTCATAATTCAAAACCCAAATTCCTGAAACCATAATCCTAATTTCTGATTTCACAATTGAAAACCCTATAAAATATATTTGTAATTCATAATCAGAAGAACGTCGTCGACGACCATCTTGGGTTTCACTTAGACTATTCATGGCAAAGGACACGGCCACCCTCTCACAACTGAAAATTTTCTCCCCCTTTCCCTTAAATTTTCTCCTCATTTTCTTTTGGCTGAACTTGCTTTTCTTTTATGCCAAACATTCCCTTATACTTTCCATAATAGAGAAAGAAAAAATAATATAATGATCAGTTGGATCTATGGACTCGAGATAATTAGTACTAGACTAACCATGACAACTTTAAACATAGTTCCTTGTAATTCAATTTTGTATGACACTGATATATATTATATGATTTTATTTTTATTTTTTTTAATATATCGTAAATATTGTTAGGCTGTGCTTAATTTATAAGAATGAAAATAAAAGGGAATGGCATGATTATTCCTTAAATATGTTTTGATTAAAAAGAAAAATTTGTGGAACGTGAAAGTGAAAGAAAAAAAAAATTATAATTTGGAAATTTTGAAAGAAAGGAATAGAAAATTTTGAAATTTTAATTATAGATAATTTTTATATAGAAAAAATTAGATTTTCTTGTGTTTTGCCATGTTTTTTTCCAAGAAATTATAAAGTTAGTTACGATAATAATATACAAGAAAATTATTATTATTATAGATAATTATTTGTTCCTAAAAATTATTTGTTCCTAAAAAAAATCACATAACATTGTTAAAAAAATTTAACTTATCATAAATTTCTTAAACCCTAATTTCTGAAACCATAACCCTCATTTCTGATTTCACATTCAATAGAAAACCATAACCCTCATTTTCTCATTTCAAACATAATATTTAAATTTTTCTAAACACATTCAACATTCAACAGATTTCACATTCAACAGATGTCACATTCAACAGAAATCTGATTTCACATTCAATAGAAATCTGATTTCACATTCAATAGAAATCTGATTTCACATTCAACAGATTTCACAATTATAAACAGATTTCACATTTCTAAACAGATTTCACAAATTTTTAAACAGATTTCACAATTTAAAACCCTAATTTCTCAAACCGTAATTGTAATTTTTGATTTCACAATTATAAACCCTAACCCTAATTTATTATTTCTGATTTCACAACATTTTCACATTCATGAACCCTATTCTACCAACATTATACCCACATTCATGAACCCTGTTCTACCAACATTATACCCACATTCACATTTTCACAAACACAAAAAACGCATTAAAGTAGATCAATAGAGAGAGACAAAAGCCATACCAACGAGAGAGAGCACAGAGAGCGACAGTACTGAAGCAGAGGGAGCTCGAGCATAGCGACAGAGAGAGAGCAGTAAGAGTGAGAGAGAGTAGCAAGAGCGAGAGAAAGAGCAGGTAGCGAGAGTGAAAGGTGTTAAGTGTAACAAGTGTGATTGCAAAAGACGGTGCTGGGGAGATTTTATATAAGTTTTAAAAGCGTGGTTACAAACTATGCTTTCACTTAAAGAAAAAAAATCCTATTAAAAAGCGTGGTTCACAAACACGCTTTCAAAAGAAAATTTTTTTTGCCAAAAAGCGTGGTTCATACCAGATGGTGTACAAGGCTCATTTAAAGTAGCTTTCATTAAGTATAAACACTGAACCCCAATGGACAAAAATTCATCAGGGGAGTACATAGACCAGAGCTTTTCAGGAGAGGAGCTAATGAGTATAAAAAGATTTGTGTTATGGCTACCTGCAGAAGCACTCAAGCTATGTTTGGATTATAGATTTGCGTAAGGATTTGGAAAAGGAAATGAAAAGGTGAGAGAAATGTGAATGAAATAGAAACTAACTTTTTTCTCCATATCCCTCACCTTTTCCTTTTGAAATCCTTACCCAAATCCATGATCTAAACACAACCTTAATGAAGCAACTTCATCCCCTTCCCAAAGTCAATCTAGCGATGTTCCAACTTCTTTTTTTCTTTTTTTTTTTGGACAAGATTGTACAAAACACCATCTAAAAAATGCCACCAAATACAAATAATCCTAAAAGTTCTGAATTCCATGTTAACCGGGCGAGGTTCCACAAAGAAGAAACCTAGAGAATAGTCTTACAGGGAAGATTTTCATACCTGCTTGATTTGACAGCCGATCCCGTGTCATTAAGCTTCCTCTCTGCCGCCATCAATGCTGCTGTTGTCTTATCTGACACCTGAAGCTTTGGATCCACTGACTTCATTTTCTCATTCACAACTGAAATTCCAACCGTTAATTTCTCCGTAAGACCAACTCTCCTATCAAAGGAGATGACTTTGGCGGATGTACTGGCAGACAACCGGTGTTTCTCATCAAATGCTCTAGCCTTGTTCATGGCATCTTGGCTGATGGCTGAACCTTTTGCTAGCATACTGGAAACAACAACTTGAGCTTTACTTACATGCACTCTTCCGTTGCTAGGAGAACTAGATTTTTCCTGCTAGCATAGATAGATCACCCTAAGGTCATAAGATTAATGTCAAAAATTTAAGGAACTAACAGAATCAACCACAGTTCTCTAATTCAAGAAAATAAAGAGCCAACATAGGTCATTCCAGGCTTGATTATTCCTTTTTATTTAGCAAAATAGCCTCAAATAGGGTGTCCCTCAAGATGTGGAATCCAAGAAGTTGAATCCACAAACCCTCCCATGATAAGTGTTCAGATGCTTTTTCCTTATCACACGCTCTCTGAAGTACACTCAATACTTGGAATTCATGATACACTAGAAGACAGATTTTATGGAAGTGTTAGTGAACATGAGGAATCAGTGAAGATGTATCCAACTACCTCAGAACTTGGTGAAAGATTTTCCGGAGTCAGGCTCACAACAGTGTCTGCCATCCTTACTTCCTGCAAGAATCACATTCCAGAATATAAATTTTATTTAAAGGACTGAGAAAGAGATTGAAGAGGTTGGAAATGGAGTTACCCTAACATCATCTTTTGGAACATAGTTCTCAGCAGCAATTATACTAACAATTTGGTCCACGATTGTTGCTCCCTGTAGAATGCACAAAAAATATTAATGTACCACTCTTGAATCTTGATAACCAGAACGCTCCACATCTTCTGGAAGTACAAAATATAGATGATTCCCAATCACCCAAAAAATAGTTCCTCTTTTCAGTGATACAACAGAATACATCAGATTTTACAAAACTATAAAAAAAAAAAAAAATAAATAATATTAATAATACAATAATTTTTTTTGTGAAATCTGACACATGCCAATAATACGAATTGAGCAATATCCAACCAAAAGAATTTGAACAAGAAAGAAAAAGGAAAAAAAATTATAATCTTTCCCTCAAATCCATGAAGCTTTCCACATAATGTCGTGTATTAAGTTCTATATATCTCAAAAGTATTTGGACCTAAAAACCAAAATAAAGCTTACTATATATTGTGGTTGAGTTGAGCTAGCAGTTTCTCACTCTAGGGTTGAGAGTTTCCCACATGGTTTGTTCCATAGAGAAAAGATGGATGTGTTCCAAGCCTATATTCGCCAAGGATAACTCCACTGTGCTTCTTCCTCTATTCTTCACTGTCTCATCTTTGGCCATGTCCCATTTTAACATTCAGCTTATTGTTTTATGTCATATTTAGGGTGTTTTGGTCATCCTTTCCTCCTCTGGTTCATTCCTCAAGCAATTTCTTGGAGTTCTATTGAAATTTTAGGTTTCTACAAACCTTCTGTCAGTCTGGTGCTTTGGATTTGCTTCCCAGATGGACCTTATCTTTCTTGGGGGCTTATTGGTGGTCCATTGGGGAGTGAAAGCACTAATCATTGTAGGTCTTTCACTCCATTTTTTTCCTATTCTATAGTGATGGGTTCCTCAATGGAGTGTAGTGCCATACGTGGCACCATCATTACCTCAGTGTGATGATGCACTTTGGTGTGGGGAGAGGTTCAAACTAGGTAGGTTGTGTTGATACATTTCTGCTGGTTCGGTTAATGTTTCTGTGTCTAGTAATGAGATCTTTGGCTCTCATCTGTGTTGAGCAATCAAAGTCTCCACCTACAGATTTCAGTAGCCTTGTAACTCATGATCATTGTTCCGGGTGGGCAGCCCACAATGAGACAGTGATTTGTAAGTGTAACCTTTGTCTCGTCAACTTTGGTGTGTGATTTCTTGAATAGATCGTGCATGGACTGTGGAGGGAGGGAGAGGGCGCTGTGTTCTCACAATTGTGATCATGATGGTGCCCTCTAGTATGTTAGTTTTACTGCTACTGCTATTGCTGCTGCTGTAATGGAATGAAAGTTGAAGATGACTGTATGTGGATGGCTTGTTGTGCTGAGGGACTGTGCTACTGATTGGTTGGTGTTGACTCTACCTCCTTTAGCAATTTTCTGGTGCTCGATGTTGCATCTTTCAATTTAGAAGAATTTTCTCTGGCAGGATTTTTCACTCTTTCTTCTTTGTGCGACATAGTTGGTTTTCCACCATTTCCACATTAGATTGGCTTGATCTTAATATGGTTCAAACAATCATGAAGAGCATTATAAAATAACATGTCTAAATAAATCAAAGAATCATGAACAAAATAAATGGGGCCTTCACCAGCATCAAGCAAAGTTCCAGTTATAGCATCATTAAACGACTACTATGATTACTTGAAAAGTGGCTTCACCATAGGCAACAAAATGCACTTCAAAATTTTATGAACATATCACCTAGAAAAATGACACCTTGTTTCATTACTGCATGTAGCTTTCTTTATATATTTTATATATTTGCTCCACACTCAGAATTTATAAATAGATACATGCTTCAATTTATCTCACAAGTCACAAGCCCTACTGACACAACATTGGCCACTGACATCCTAAATTCTTGCAAACAAAATCAAGAAAAAGGTAATTTTAATTAAACCATCATATTACACTTCAACAGCAAATTTTAACCCTCGGATTGTTTTCTACACAAAACAGCTCTCGCTTTTTTTATTTTATTTTAACAGCATTCAAAACTATTATGATGAAGTTAAAGAAAAGAATTCAATAATCCACGTCTTTGTTCCTCAAAAGTGATACTCTCTGTCTTTTCTTTGGTTTTCAAAATCAGTTTATTTTTTCCTTTTATCATGCCCTTGTATGAAAGCAAAGTTTATAAAGTACTCTGCCTAATAATGTGCATTACATAATGACTCATCATCCTCGCTTTACACAACTGCCATTTTCAAGCTCCATTCTCTGTTTGGTTCAGGAAAGAAACCAAGAAAAACTACAACAAAATACTACATAATGGTTAAGATTTGGCCTGTTTCTTGAGCATCTTCTCTTCCATTTCATTCTAGCTTCAATGAGGGGTTTAAAGTTTTGATACTATTCATGCCCCACACCTATCATACTGCCACAAAACTAGTAGAATCAAATGTGAATACACAGCATGCTCTAAATAGTAGGATGAATACTTTCTGTGAAACAACTAAAATCTCAAAAAATAAACTAAAATAAACCATTTTGACAAACTATAAAGTGGGAAAACAAGAAATGCATAAACAAGAAAGAGGAACAAATTGAGTAGATACCGATAACAACAGCGCAATTTCAAGGGCTTTTGGATCTTTGAATGTAACAAATGCAGTCTTTGATTGCCCTGTATCTCTGCAACCCATTTTTTTGCATAACAGAGAACCCAATAAACAAATCAAAAAATAGTTGAAAAACATTTTAAAAAAAATGTTCCAAAAGAACAAGAAGACCAAACCTGCGGATCTCAATGTGTTCAATATCCCCAGAAAATGAGAAAAACTCATGAATCTCTCTTTCACTGGCTAGATCTGAAACGTTCCCTACTTGTACTGTTCTAGTCTGATATAGAATCAAGAAAAAAATTCAAATGATTGAAAGTTCTTGAACAAACAAGCATTGTAACAAGACAGATCTCAAAATCAAAAAAAAAAAAAAAAGATTTTAAAGAAATCAGAGAAATGAATCCATTGAAACAGACCTGCATTGCGAAACCCAGAAGTGATTATCCCTGAAAAGTCTCTCTGTTTCAGAGTAATTTGGGTAGTTTTGCAGGGTGGGAAAGAATTTGAAAAAACGAAGAGGAAAGAGAGGCGACAAGTTGGACCAGAGAGGAGTAGAGAAAAGAAGAGAAGAGAAGAGAATGTATTTGCTTGAGAAATTTTTTTTATTATCAAAAGATTCCTACTGTTTGCTTTTGTGGTTGAATGCCAATTTTTCACTTTTCCTGTTTAATCTTCAGATGGTGAGGGTATAAATAGAACCACTTTGAGAGCTGTTTGGATGCTCGGATGTGTCTCTTGCAATAGAGATTTAATTTATTTGGAACTTCTTTTTTTTTCTCCCTTTAAATTCTTAATTTTATTTTTTTAAATAATGTTGGAGGCTCCTAAAAGGAGAATTTTTTTATATGCTAGAGTTACACGTGGTACTGTCAAATGATATTACATGACATTGTTAAGTAATATTTTGCATTGATTACAAATTATCTCCTCTATTATTTTTTAAATTGATGGTAATATACTCTCTTTTCGCGGCTAAGGTTTTGCATAAGGCTGGGTGACATTGTGGGTGTTTGGGAGCTGCTATTTTTTAATAAATTATTTTAATTTTTGGCTATTTTAATTGGTTAAAATTTGTGTGTTTAAAAAGATAGTTTGGATTTTTTTATAATTGAATGTGATGTTTGTGAGAAAAAAAATGATTATGAATTTGATGTGAGATTTTGTCTGATTAATTATATTAATCTATTTTATCCTTTTATAAATTTTAACAAAAAAAAAGAGGCTAAAATCCAACTTGCCAAACACTCCATTGTCAAAGAAGTTATGTGGTGGCGAGCTAGGGCTACAAGGTCATTGTGAATAGATGGGAAAGGTTGCGGGATCACTGCGAAAGGGGCAATGAAGGATTGCCGGAGATGTTACACAAGGTTGGAAAGGGAGATTTTCAAGAGGGAAGGGTGAGAGGGGTTGGCAAGTCTGGGAAAGGGCTGCTGAAAGTGGGGGTTGAGGAAGGGTGATGGGAGGACACGTTTGTTTGAGAGTTAAATAGATGGGAGGAGATTAGGATAGGTGGGGTTATTTAATGTTGTGTTTATTTGTAGAGTTGAGAAAAGTGATTAGGATGGTGGAGGTGATATAGATGGAGGTTGGAAGGGGGATTGAGATGGAGGAGGTGTAGATGGTATTAGAAAAACAGTGAGGGAATTAGAAATTTTTTTATTTTTTATATATTGGGAATTTTTTTTAAAATATTAATGTTTAACTTTTTAAATTTTTTTATTTGTTTTATTATTTTATATAAAAATAATTTAACAATTTCTACACTAACAACTATCATCAAAATAAATATAATTTTACTTAATCTCCTCACTGTCAATCCCTTTACTAATAATTATCTTACTATCAATCCCCTCTATTTTACGACTGAAAACAATCACGCTTAAGGATCCAAAGAAACAAGGGTAGAGCTGAGAGTAAGATAGGTGTTAAAAAAAAATTATATAATTTAACTAGGTAGGGTCCAATTGAGGGATGAAACAGAAAAATTAAATAATTGGATCTCAACCAGGCAAATACCGGTTACCCAAGAGGTAAAGATTTGAGTGTAAATTGAAAGTCTTGAATTCGAGTCATTGTAAGGAACAACTTGGGGTTGGTGTTGTGTTTTATAGGCATGGCACCATGTTGTGAATTCGGGAAGATATGTTCTGAATTTATTTTAATGATTCAAATTATTTATAAGTAGGGCTTGTTGAGTAGATTATTACGAAAAAATTCAAATTAATTAGATATCTGTAACTGATAGTAAGACACATTTATGTTTAGGAAAATAGTTAGCATGATTTTGATAATTTCTTAAGATTATTATTCGGCTTGATTATGGGGTTATCTTGTTCAATTAATTTAATTTTTGCTATAGAAGATATATTCAATGAATCTTATAATATGAACCGTCCAAATCATTAAAATATAATTGGAACAAAATCTCACGGAATTTGACAGTATGAGGTCTGTCATAACACCCATCTCAAATCCCTCTAAAGAGCCACTAAAGATTTGTCGAATCATTAATTTCAGAGTTACAAAATTAGTTGAGTTATGCACAAAGTGACCCAATACTTGATTACAATTTTATTTATTTATTTATTTTAATTTTTTAATTTTTAAATCAGCTACTCTGTCACATGATTATGGCTTTAATGTTTAACGCACAAAACAGAAATTGCAAGTGTTCTTTATTAATGAAAAAACAACAATTTTATCTAAATGAAGAAAGGAGACATTACTAGAAAGAAACAGTAAACATATATGCAAAAAAAATCGTGCATAGAATTTTATTTGAAAAATAATATAAAGTATATTCGAACTCACATTTTAAATAAATCTGAACTATATATTAAATATTTTAATTATTTTTCTTATACACAAAGGAACCAGCTAAGCCTTTAAAACTAATTTCTTGCTGGCATTCAACACTGTAACTAAAACATATTATTGTTCAAACAGTTACTGGTTATTTTGACCATAACATTGGAATTGTCTTTTGTTGTTTTGGAGATGGAGATCGATTAAGATGTTTACCAATCTAGCATTGTAGACAACTTTAAAATCACATGCAAACACTTGATCCAAACAAACACATGAGGAGTAGGACCACTAAAAATTACATTCCCATGTGGTAAAAGTTAAAAGCAAGAAAAAGGGTAGGCCTGCCAAATTATTTATTTATTTATTTTTGAAATGTCAAGCCATCAATTGATTCTTTTCTTGGTCAATATGGGCTTGTTGATGAGATATGTCTACAACTTTTGAGTCCGCCGACAAGGACCTAGTTGGATAATGAGCCATGTGCCTCTCGCGCTGTCTCTCTCACATTGCATATAAGCTCAGCTGGCACATTTTCTTGGAAGGGGTCATGCCACTACTAGTAAATAAATAAATAAACGGCAATGCTGAGGGGCTTGAAAATCAGCTCTTCTAAATCCTTCTAATTTTTTTTTTTTTAGGTGGCAGACAATAATGTTATCAAAGATTGGCTAAAGATTGTGAAATCTTTTCATTGAAAATTTGTTGTCAAGCATGTGAAGCTTTTTTGAAAAAGTTGGTCAGGCTTGGTTGGCAAGCATGTGATATTTGTCTGATAAAAAAATGAATGACATTATGCACAGAAATGCGCCGGACCCCAGCAAATGTCACCCTCACCGACCCCCCCCAGTGCCACGTGGCACTGCGGGATTGGAAGAAAAAAAAAATAAAAATAAAAATAATGCCCAAAACGACGTCGTTTTGGGCATTATGGGGATTAGGGGGGGAGATTTTCGAGCTCTCAAACATTATTCATAAATAAATTCTAATCAATTTTAACAAATAAGATGGATTAAGAGTTGGGCTTACCACCCCTTTTCATCTAAATTGGAGGGTTAATTTTTTATTTTATTTTATTCATAAAATTCATTATAAGTCCTATTTTGATTATAAATTGTTAATTTTGTATAGGTTTTTAATATATATCGTTTATAAAAAAATTAGATTGATTCGATAATTATTTCTTTTTCATTTTATTGTGTTTATTTTTATTTTTTAAAAAAGAACAAGTGTGTTTTTAAAAATAAATCAATTATTTTTTTTAGAGTGAGACTATGGTAGCATGGAGTGGGGATAGAATTACCGGCGTCACTGGGGAACCGCATTACCTGGCTGGGCAGAAGATGGATTGTGATTGGTTAGAGAAGGTGGTAACAATTAGGGGGTAGCTGGGTTGTGGTTGGTCAAAAGAGGGGTGCAATAAGGAGGGGTCACGGATATGGAGTTATTATTATTGTGAGCAGCGATTCCATCTCATTTATAACTCTCAAGACTCCATTTTGTAGGTCTCGCAAAACCCCACGATAGTAATTCAAAAAGTTTATCGCATATGTCTCAGAGAAAAGAATAGGTCTCGAAGAAAAGAATATATATACAAAAATAATAATTTAATCAAACATTAATAGGCGTATTAATTTATCTTATTTTGCTTTATAAAATGAACCATTTTAGTTTAAAATCATATTTACCGTAAATTTCACAAAACAAAATATGTTTAATTCGTGGGTCTATCAATTTATGATCAAGCAAAAAATTTTGCATATATATTTTTTTCTCTAAGACCTACGAGATGAACAGTTTGAATCACCGTTGTTGGGTCCTATAGAGCTCACAAAAGTGAGTTTTGCGGGTTATGGAGAAAATGCGGTCGGCTACTCCTGAATGTCTTATGGTCATCAATTGATGGTGCTGCACTCATCAATTGATATACTAATTAGTACACTAACATATATTATGACATTGCTACTTTAACACTATGACCACATTTATTTTACAAATTATAAAAACCCAAAACTTCTAAAATTATGTTATTCATCTGTTAATACATTAATTAGTATATCAATTAATACATATAGTATTATTCATTTACAACATACTTGACAACATGTGAGTTTTGAATAAATGATGCACATATAATCAGCAATAACTGTGAGCACAATAAAAAGATAAAATAATACTTATATATTTTATTTGTTTGTAATTGCACATAATTTTAAAGAGTAAAACTTAAAATATAATTAAATTATTTAATTATGTCAAAACACATAATAATTTTAAAGATTAAAATTTAAAATGTAATTAAATTATTTAATTATGCCAATATTTTTTGTTAATTTTGTTTTTACTATAAAGAAACATAAGGTGAATCTGGAAGGGTGAATTTCTAAAAATTCAAAGAGAACGATAATTTAAATATGTTTAAAAATCTAGAGGAGTGAATTTGTGCTATTTATAATTAATAATTAATACTACTACAATAAAGTGATTTTTTTTGAAAATCGTAGTGTGGCTTGCCACTTCTAAGTTCATCCTTATATAATTAATTAATAATAAAATATCTTACAATTTTTTTTTTATTTATATAAAACCTTTTTTTTATTATATTTATTTTAAATTTAGCTCAACTATGTGACCTAACATTTTTTTCGTCAAACCCATCTATGATATATAACAGTAGTGTTCAAATTTGTACTCTCTACTTGCGGTTGTTGTTGGGGGACCTCTTAAATTTAATTTTTAATTATTGTCTATTTTAAAAATCATGTCATAGTTAAGGGGAGCATGATTAAAAATAAATCAATAATCAAATTATTACTTACAATTTTTTGAAATCTATAATCAAATTAAATCATGAAAATCTTATAATCAAACAAAATGGAATCATTAAAACGAGATCCATTCTATTT